TCAGCAGACTGTGACATCAGCAGGTGATGCATTCAGATAGTTAAACTGTATTGAAGCAGAGTTAGAATCATTCTGAGCACTAACTTTTGTGCATTTGTTGTGTATACTCATACTGGATGACTGAGTTTTGTAGTGAAGTACTAGTTTATTTTGTGCCCAGAGAAAATGTCTTCAAACCAATGCGTTGCACAATTCATCAAGCATACCAGGAGTGGGGAGATTGGTCTGAGTTTGGGAATATTGCAAGCTTTTACTTATAAAGCTTCATAACAATGGGAATAGGGCTGGCATAAATACAGTCAACATATCTGAAAGCTAAAACATAAGTTCTGTGTGTGCTAAAGGATAAAATCCTCAACATGTTCTTTGTAACTATCCTATTTAAGACATTTTCACACACAAAAAAGGAAACTACCAGAATGTAAATATTATACTTTTAAAACAAAGAAGAGTTTAAATATACTGGGCACTTAACCTGTGTCCTTACGCAGATTGGTCTGTTCAGCATAGATTGAATCAGAGGATCCAGGGATCCTGGATCTTTCATTTGGTCCCTATAACAATTCACAAGCTTATAAAAATTATCCATCCAGGATTTTTTTTTTAACTTTAATCTCTGAAAATAATCCAATCAATTTCACATTTATATGCAATCAGTTTCTATTTAACTTTTCCACTGGTCCTAAAAATGTAAATGTTTATTTTAAAACAGCTTTAGTAAAATCAAATGGGGAGAAAAACATGGGATCATTTAACTTGGCCTGGATTTTCTAAAATATTTTCAAAATAACAGAGGAAGTCATAACTATACACAAGGAAATGCTTAACTCTTTGCATATCTCTTTGCTACACTTCTAACTATTGAAGAATGAGAATGCAGCTATGGCTTGTGCAGCTGCTTTATAATATTGATTCTTGTCAGGAATAAGATTCTTTCTAGTCATTAATGAAATCTCAGCCCAGGCATGGTAAGCTAAATTCGCCCTGACTTCAGAGTCAATGCAATGTATTTGCCTCATGACACTTTGGAGCCTGAAAATGCCTCTTTTCTAGAACAGCTACTACATATGTCCACCTCTCTTTCCTGCAAGACAGGCCTTTCTGGGAATAAGGAACAGCTTTATAAATATATATGAGCGCTGCTGCCTTGAACTCCCTCCTGTTTGCTCTGCCAAGCCTATATGAATTGCCTGAGTGCAGATGGGTTGTAGGGCAGGGAGCAGTAATAGTAGCAACCACCTCAGTTTCTCACACAGAAATGTTGTGGCCGAAGGAAGTTGTCTTCTGTAGTAATGCCAGCAAAGTCCCCATCCATTTAATCTGGGCTGCCTTTACTTAGCAGCTCTGTGTCCCGCAGTGTGAGAAGAGATTTCTGTTACATTGCAAATAAAGACACTGGGATTCATGACAACCCGAATGTGTCCTGATGTGCAGTGGCTGTCACTTGATTATGGTAACTCTAGCCTCCTCCATTTCATGTTCCTCTTCGTCTAATCCATGAAGTGGAGCATTGTGGCATGGCACGCTGAGGAGCCAGGCTTCTCCTACACAGTTTCTCCACTTGCCAATAGTTTGTACTATGATGTAGTCTATGCAAATATTTATGATTTCATTAAATTAAGCGGCAATTTCAGGAGAGAAAAATCTGATTTTGTCATCAAGTGAGCGCCTTAGCTTTCATCTGTAATTTCTTTTGGTTTGTAGGCAAAAGGCTATTCCTAGCTTAAATAACTATTTCCTCCTTCAAACAGGTTTTTCCAGGCCAGTTTGAGCTGCCTATGCCAACCAGCACACACCTTCCCAACCACTTCTGAGTCATTCTTCATTAATAATCAGAAAACTTGACTCTCAAACAGGTTCCAGTGTTAAATGAGATGATTAGCTGTATACCTAGCCACCATGGGGCATGAAAAATTGTAAGTAACTGAAATTTTAAGGCATAAAATGAGGAAGGGAGAAAAGCAATCAACAAAAATGTATTTTAAAAGTTATTTGAGGATACATAGGGGTCTGAAATTAAAGTCTTTGTGGGGTAGGTGCCCCAGGGAAGGTACTCCCTCTGCTATACACATACTCCTTCCCGCAGCTCCCAACACTGCTGCACCTGTCCTACGTGCTTCTTCCATGGGCACCTCCTGTGGTATTTTAGTATTTCTTTATGTTCCTGTTCAGAGGAACAGGCTGTGTCCTTTTCAACAGCTGTAGGAGGGCTCCTTTCAGAACTTCTCAGATAAGAAGTTTGGAAACTATTTCAGAAGCTGGTAGGCAGTTTCTGGTTTTATTGCCACGGAGGTTTTCCTGGCTTTTGTTCTATATTTTATGCTAGTTATAAAATTAAGTAGCTTCATCTCTTGAATTAGAAGAAAGTTGTATAAATATAAAATATATTTAATTCTTCTAGCTACCATACAAATATACTCAGTAGTTGCCAAGACAGAAAAGGCTTTTTCTTAAATTTATAAATAAATTTAATAAAAATAATATGTGAAGGATGGAGACTCTGAGGCGGTAACTTATTTAAGAGATGGAGTAACTCACTAAATACTGTAGGCTTTTCAGGTATAGAGTAAAAATATACCAGACAAAAAGGAAAGTGAGAGTTAATTTCCATCATATATTGATGTAATATACCTTTTCATACCCCAGGGGGGAAAATAAATAAATAAATATGTATGCTGTTTCTAGAAGCAAACCTTCTCAATGAACTGAGTGTAAATATGCCGAATCATGGCTACTGGTTTATTGGAGTGGGTGGCTATTTTTTGTGTGGTTTTACTAGACATATACCTGTTTTTCTAGCATCTTTCTGATCCCTGTGCTCCCGGGTAGTGGAATAGGAAGGCGTGCAGGAAGGGTGGTGCTGGGCATTCTGCCTTTGGGAGCACTTCTGAGCACAGTACAGGTGTTGGAGCTGGCAGGCATAATCTGCTATTTAGGTATGGTATAAATACTGGACTATGTAAACATGTCACTTGCTGTCTGGTCTGACTGATTTGCAGAGCTGATGTATGTAAACATCCTGCCCTGTTGGTTATTTCCAGGAGACTGAAGCCAAGGTAACTATTTATATTAATAGTAACTTTATGGAAAAGAGATGCAAACATATTAATGAGGGGCTGGCATCACGATTAAAGGTTTTCCTTCTTTTCCTAAAAATCTGTGTACTTTTACACCAGATGTAAAATATATTTACCGTAATGTCTCTTGGCTTAAACTGTTTCTTGAGACATGCTGAAGACCATACACTACCCTCTCCTATGCTTACTTCGGAGGAGAAGGAAGGGCTGGAAGGACTGGTGTAGATTGTTCATACAGAGCCTTTGGTAACATCAATGACTGTTGAACTAGAATATCAACCTAGCAGTCTTCTCCTGCACAGCAGCTCTGTGAAGGGCTGCTGCAGACAACAGCACCCAGGACAGGAGGTATATGATGCAATATGTACAAATGCCTGCTCAGGGGAAGATCCTAGCTCTTTAGAAGTAACTAGTGTACCAGACTGCACATGGAATTCCTTACCTTGCCTGGGTAAATTCAGAACTAATTAAATCTTTTTCATTCCTGTATTTTTATTCCTGTTTATTGTTTTCCAAGCAATAAATGAATAGCACTCTGCTCACATAATTAGTGATCTAATACTGTTATTAAGTAAGGGAAAGAAAGGCAGGAAGAAAAAGGCCCTTTACAATTTTGAGTACAGCAATGCAAGAATGTTCCAATAGAGCATTACCAGAGCAATGCCCATGTTCCTTTTGGTAGTGGATTTCTCTAAACAAGTTTGAAGCAATGACATCCTTGTACAGCAGATCAGGACTGTAAACATGTGGCTATAAAGTCATTATACATATAGGCAATATAAACTAAATACACAAAAAAAAATCAGGCTAGGAGAAACATTTTAAGTATATGTACAACAAATGCTAACCGTAGCACACAGCATAATCACCACCATGATATCAATGACAGACACTAATACAGCACACTGATCCCAGAGTTTAAGTCGAATTAGATGGGGTTTTTTTACAAAAACCTTAGTTCTAAAGGAAAACTGAAGTGTCATATGAAAGTAACACAGTGAATCTTGCTAGCTTGACAAGATTTTATCTGTCAGTACAAAAGCAGCACCTCTTGTTACCTTCAGAGTATATGCTTCAAAATTCAACTAATACACTTCCAATGTCACTTATTTCAGTGAAAACTTACTGAAAAGGCAATACAGATAGAGATTAATACAGATCTGTCTCCTTCTGTGCCTCTTCTGCTTTGTATAATATGAAGACAAAGACAGAACAAACGTGTGAAAAGTTCCCTGTCTGATCCGCTCCAAAGTATCAGGCTGTTTCTGACCACAACCAGGCCAAAATTCAGGTTAAAGGTGTGGAAATGTATTTATCAAAAGGGAAGGAAAACTTTGAATTTAGGTGTCAAAGGTAGACTAATGACATTCCTTATATGAATACTTTTAGATTTTAGTTAATTCTTCCCTTGCTGCTTCAAAATGAAAGTGCAAAAACTTAAAAGTTGTCTCCTTCCTCTAAAACAGATAAACGTGCTGCTGTTTGTGGGCCTTTTTGTTTGCACGCTTTACAAAACTGGTTCACTGTTTGTTTTGGGTTTTTTCCCTTAAAAAAAGTAATTCACGTACTATTTCTGTATAAGGAAATGGCCAGGGAATATCAATAAATGTAAAATAGAAAAAAAAATACCGTCTAAGATATCTTTCTCCACTTTAAACATATAAGTTGCAAATAAACATAATCAGTGTGTGATTATGGGCAGATGTTGCATGGTTCCTTGTAAAATCCTTAAAATCTTGTTAGTCTGCCTGTCTTTAAGTAAGATCTTCTAAGGCTGTGTGTGAATCCGTTTGAGGAAAGGTAATACAGGTATATCTTTTGAGAGGGTGCTCATTCGGGAAGGATGTAAACTTCAGAGAAGATTTCTAGCATTTTGCGTACAACTAAGATCATGTGCAGCTGCCAACTCTTAGTGATTCTTACCTTGGCCAGTTGTGCTTGGAGTTTATTCTTTGCATCAGCTACTTCAGCAATACGATTGCTAAAGGCCAAGTTGGTAGCGATGAAGTGATTCCACACCTCCTCAGATACGCTCTTCAGTCCAGCCTCTGCCTCCTCTTGGAGCTTGACAGAGTTGGCCCTTTCATGCTGAGAGCGCCTGATATTGTCTTCGCTGAATTTAGCCCATGTTGCAGGAACTGAAACACTAGTAAGAATTTAAAATAGGAGTGAGCTTAGGTGAACTATTTTCTCTCAGTGCTAATCACACTAAGAGTTCATCCACTGAACTGTGCAAACTGTGCAATGACATACATCAGGTGATTCCAGGGGTTTCATAGCCACTTTTTTTCCCCCTTTTTTGCCTCTATAAACCAAAGATTTGTCAACAACAACTGAAGATTTTTGGAGAGTTGTTGTTTCAACAGTGTTTCTATGACTTACTTGAATATTTAGCTGCCAACTAAAGGTCTTAGTAGCCTTGGCATCAACTCCAAAGCAAGCAGGTTTATGTTTTGCTGTATAAAGAATGACCTTTTCTTGCATACTTTTTGTTAATTGATGATTAAAAGTAGTTTTTGAGGATCAGATAAGAATGTCAACAACACAGCTTCTTCCTGTCTTTAGCAGACTAGGTGATGGTTGGGGTTCATACCTGCTGTATCTCAACTGAAATTTGACTCGTTTTTCTGTGTCAAGTTTCAGAGTGCTTATGGCTTTGATGGATGATTATTTAGCATGATCTCCTGTACAGTGCACACCATCAAATTATATTTAAATACCATCTACTTTTGTGAATACAAACTTTTATCCTGGGGAAATCGAGTTGTCACCAACCACCGGAGAATGTGAGAGCTCAACTAGTTTAGGGAAAATGAGCAAGAAACCAAAGGAGAAAGCTGTTACACAGCTCTTCAGACAGCTCTGGTGGGATCCTTGGTTTCATGTTCAAGCTTCAAAGGTGGCCATCATTATCATAATTGTTGAACATAATAGTTGAACATAAATCCCAGTTTTTTCCAAACCAGGAGTCTGCAGAGCTCTAAACTTGCAGCCTGAGCCCCTGGATTGAAAACTGCTGGTGCAGCATAAGCTACTCTCTTTGAAGTTATACTACTACTTTAATGCATTGCTTAGCCTACTAGATCACTTTTCTCTTCACCTAGAAATACTTAGCACGTTTTGTGAAAAGGTACAGATATTTTACTTGCTAAATTGAAAGGCTGAGATAAACTCTCTGCATTTAGACTTCATTGTCCACACAAAACTTTCTTCTAAGAATTATGCTTGTATGTTAAACTCTGTAGGGATAAGTCGCTATTTTTTGATTTTCACATTTACTCTAGATTTTAATTGAACACTGAGAGTAGATATTAAGGGATGCAAAAAGAAAAAGATAATTTTGTCAGTGCTTGTTTTCTCAGTGGCCTTTTTTCCATTTTTTTTTTTTCACAGAGTATTCCTCTCTCTCCAAACTGAAGTACTGATCTTCTTAAATGATTTGGAATTCCTTAGTGCTACACACTTATTTAGGCAGTTGCCCTGAAAAACTCCAGGTAACCAACCTGATACCATAGTAAACTGCATAAATCAGGGTACTAAACCTGAGCTGGCACTGCTTACAGCTACTGATCCAGACAATCTCGGTGTACTTTCTGCAGGGTATGTGGTTTGGGGTTTTTTCCCCTTCTATGGTCTGATAGATTATATTCATTTTCTCATCAGAAAATTAAATTTCCAAGTAGGTTTCCATCTAGACTATCTAAAATACTTTGTACTTAATCTATTCCTTAACATTGCTTTTTCAGACGGCAATTTATCAGGCTGCCTATGTTGAGGCAGAAAACACCTGCTCTGCTCCTGAGGCTGCAGGTATGTCTCAATCTGCCAAATGGTTTCAGGAAAACATTAATGAAAAATGTCATTTCTTTGGATATTGGTTGGTGAGAAAGGAAAAGTGCTGTAAAACTCGGCCACATGAATCTGCTTTTTACTAGAGCTGACAAGAATAATTTTACTCATTGCTAATCCTAAAAGTAGGTAGTGTTACTAGAGTCAGCAGAATGCCTGCCAAGTTTCCTTCAGATATGCCCTCATTTCAGTGGTGAATGAGGTGATCTTTTAATGAAAAGCAGAACATAAGTAAACAAATAATACTGATTTTTTTTTTTCCCCTTCCAACAAGAGAGAGTTGTTATCATTTGAGATTGTGAAGTGCTTTCACCATTTAAATACTGCTATGTTAAAGCGTGATGAAGGAACTAACAAGCCATTAGCACAAAAACACTGCCCTCTATTGCAAGCTGCTTTTCTTCTGCTATTGCTGTTGGTTTGGATGCAGGTCTTGATGAGAGCACTACTAATAAGCAGTTTTGAAAATATATACAATTGGGACATTTTAGTTCATCCTGTAATGCTAAAGCTGTGCCAAATCTTTTTGATAATCCTGTTTAATACGTATCCCTCTTAGTTTGATGGACTCATTCCCAATAACCCAAGGTATTTTTACAAAAAATGTATATAGTCCTTGGTGTACACTTACATGCTCTTTGCCTCATTGCATTTAACTGCACACCTTAGCTGAATTTTGATTTGACTGGATGTGGTTTTGAAACCTGAAGGCCACAGAACAGTATAAATCCAAACCAGAGGGAGACATCTGCAGAAAGGAGTCTGGGGGTAAGGAGCTGTAACACAATTCTAAACAATTGTCCTTGCTGAAATACACAGCTGCTTGCACATCAGTGAGTGCTGTAGGTGCTGCGGACTGGCAGCTCCTGCCTGGCCTCCAACAATGGCAGCTCTAAGGAGGCAGGGAATAATTGAGGATGATTGGAGGGTTTCATGCCAAGGAGAAACAAGGCCATACAGAGAGAGAAGCCATTTCTTTCTATATCACTTCTCAAAGATAAGGTTAGGACTTGTGCTGTAATCAGGCTCCGACTTACAGCAGGGAGCATGGAAAGAGAAGGCTACAACAGCCACTCATACTCACGTCTCATCTGCTTTTTCCACTCCAGGGTAAAAGTTGATTCTTTCTGAAGTATTTCTCATGGTAAAGCATGTCTCGTCAATAAAATGGGCTGAGTTTTTGTCAGAAAGATCTTGCTCCAGGGCATGCTGTACATCTCTGTTAATGCTGTGAAGGGGAAAGATTTACCTTTATCTGTGCCCCTTTAATGCTGTTGTGCTAAATAGTTAATTGCTTTCATTACCTTCCTCCAGTGCTTCATTTTATAGTTTGTTGGCATTTACAGTGGTTTGAAAACAAACACTAAACACATTACAGTGGTGCTGTAATTTAGCTAGAGGGAGCTGCTGTACCATAATATCTTCTAGCCTCTAGGCAGTATTCCCCAAAGAATTGCATTTAACTCACTGCATTTAATAATGACAGACAACTACAAGGGTGAAAAGCAACAGGTAGTTGTTGTGTGGCATGAAGGAAAGCCCCAGAGCAAAAGGGAGGAGGTTTTCAGTGATAACCTTCAGACCAGCACAGCTGTAGGTGAGAAAGAAAAGAGCAGACCAGAGCTGTGGTTTCCCATCTCTCCTGATTTGGGGGACAAATTCACTTAGCATTCAGATTGTACATCACTGGAAAATCTGTTTAAATATTTCTGCTTATCTTCATCACAAGGAAGGAAATATGTTGCTCCATCTCTGCTTTCTTACCTGCAAGGAATTTTTGGAGTAACTTAATCTCCTTTGGCTCTTCCAAAATGGGGGAAGGCCTGGCAGACCCTGGGCTAGAATGACAGTAATATGGATGAAGGAAGAATCAAGTCTTGCTTTTCAGTGCATCAGGAAGACAGCAGACATGATGACATTTTTGGCAAATACTGCTGTTTCCATGATGTACTTGTTAATTGGCATTGCTATCAGTCTGCCTGATGTATTGACAGAACTGAATCAAAGGTGACCAGAAATGCCAGCGTGAAGAGCTAGACAGAGTTCATGCCACTAAATATGAACATAGCTTTTATCTCATCATATACTCAATATATTACAGTAGTGGGACGAACTGTGAGTCCTGAGTGCTACTAATAAGAGCAGTTGTTTAAATTCTACTTACGTCTTTCTCCTGTAATGTAATAATCAAGAACTACACAATTTTATCTTCCTTGTGTGCTTGAGTACTTGAACTGCTTCTTTTGAGAATCACATTATATCATATAAATATGAATTTTAAAATCTGTTCTGTGTAGTTAATAGAACGCTGTATTCAGAATAGTTTTTTACCGAATTAAATGATTACTTAAATATAATTTACATTTACTAGGATATTTGTGTACTCTCAGAGAAATAAAATGCATTCCAAAGCCTCTCATAATAAAAACATACAAACATACATAAAAATAATTTAAGTCCATTTCATAACTCATATCATACCTTATGATGTGCTTGTTTTCCTGTTTCTTTTGTCAGTAATAAATTTCCTTTGAATTTAGTTTTGTAATAAAAAAAACAACATCCCTTCAGACTTCACACTGCAGTGTGCCACATAGGAACATTGGCACAACTAAGCTATAATTTTGGTGTCTCTTTATTTTAATGAAGTATTTCAGATTAAACCTGACTTTAAAAATTGAGTCACAATTGTCTTTAAATAGTAAGTATTGCTTTTCTGTGGTTTAACATACAAATTCTGTCATTGCCCTCCACTTCTAATTACCAATGAGCATCTAACAGACTGGCTCTGCTTTTGCCTTTGCTGTTTTCAGTCTGTTGTTAGATACTAGCTAACACTGAATTCCCATCTTTAAAACATTAATTAAATGTAAAGTCTTACCCCAACTGTTGACTGATTTTCTCTGCAAGTTTTGTCAGTATTTCTTGACAGTCCTTGAATACATCAGCCTCCTACAGTGAAAAATACACAGTATCAGTGCTTTCATCAAACTTCATTTGTTTTAGTGAATTTACCCTTTTTATTCTGTATTCTAGGTGTTGCAACCATCTCATATATCTCAAAAGCACTGTAGGTCAAGAAAGGATGTGTTTTGGTCCCTTTTCCTCAGTGCTACAAAGTTGTATCTTTTGACTTGGTTTTGTATGGCTTTTTATATTACATTAGAACTGTTACTAGATTTTATTGGATGCAGTCATTCTAATAAACATAAAGTCAAATTTTGCTTGGCTTAAGTATAATGAAGAAACTTGAAACATGAACCTTAATCCATTAAACTAACTACTACTTCTACATTTTTCTAGAACAATACCAATATTTTGCTAATAGTAGTGTAGGTTGAAAATATACCTGATTTCAGAAACAGGCTTTCTAAGGAAGTATATTGTAATATTCTCCAAAACTGTAAGTATTGCTCAGAGAAATTCAAAGCTAGGTTCCACTCAGATTAAAATAAATAAATACGCAAACCAACCACATTGAAAACTATGCAAAAATGGTAATGACAGTCCCTCAAACAATGTTACAGTGTTCCAGCCTCTTTCCTTTTCAAAAACTCTGTTTTAGCCCAACTTACCCTCTTACCTAAGTATATACAGTTTTGTGAGTTTTGAAACAGGGAATTAAGTGTTTTAAATTACTTGGAAGTCATTAAGACATCCCAAATTTAAAAATACAAGCTCTATGTCTGTACTTGTGCTGTATGCATATGAATGACAGCAACTTTGGAACTGGCTTTCCTGTTATTACAAAATGAGCCTTCGTTGTCCCTCATTGTCACTACCTAGCTTGCTCCATTGTCAGACCAGTGCTTGGGGAGATCAGGCAAATGCCCTTTACTTTTCATCTTGAAAAGAATAGTTTGTTCATGTGGAACATTTAGCAGTATTTCATCCTACCCTGAATTCTCATGCTAAATTAAGTGCTGAAATACTTAAGCTAATATATAGTAGCTCCTTGATTCTTCATTAAAACTCTAAAGCTCCACAAGTCACAGGCTGTAGGCTCTGAACAAGCATCCTGGTTATCCAAGTGGTCTGCACATCCTTCAGTATCCAGAAAAGTGCTTGAAGCAATGCTGTTGTCCCATAATGTGTTTTCCTAGTATTTTTGTTCTGATACACATCCAACAGAATATCTTTAAAATATGTTAGCAAATGTTATTTGATTTTTTTATTCAGAAAGTTTTAGCAGTCACTACTATTAATCTCATTTTTTTGTTCAGTAACACTTATACATAGCAAGGCAGTAAACCAGCATTTTATATTGTAAGCCCTAAGAACTTCTGAGATTTTATAGACCATGGCCCAGAAAACAATCTTGAGAAATGTTTCTATCCTGTTTTATAGGATCAGAGAAGGTAGAACTGGACAAGACCTCACAAGGCAGTCTTTTGGCTATTCCTTTTGCTCCAGGAAGGATCCATAGAACATTAACCATCCCCGATATCTATAGTCTTACCAAATTTCTTCCTCTTCCTCCTCACCTCAGTCTTCCAAATGAATGAAAGGAAGAAATTACTGGAGTGTTTTTACCCTGATAAATATTTAGTTGGATTTTAGTTATTTCCACAGTTTGAAAAATAAACTAGTAAGTCTGATCTTACCTTTATGAGGCACTCTTCCACATCGTCGTGGACTAAATCTCTGCCCTTACGCTTCTCACGATGGTATAAGCATTCTAGGGCTATCTGCAAGCAAACCAAGGAACAGTTGCTATAGGCTCAGTACTGCATTGTGGAGTGAAACTTTGAAGCTTGCTGAACAGAATAGAAGGTGGTTTCATTGAGCTCAACTGATCTGTCTTAGTGGCTCATTCCTACTTACCTGTTAATACCTACTTTTAAGGATTAGCTGCCACCATAGCTGCTATTTGATTAGCTGCTTGTTAATGTGCAGCAAGGCCTACATCTCAACATGCCCCAGCTTTGTTGTAGATTGTGTGGATTAAAACACCTGTGTTGTTCTACACTTATCCATAGCAAAATCCTTTAATCTCATTTCTCCTATCCTCCATTAGCCAATGCCAAAGTTTGGAAGTTTCATACCTGTACAAGAGAATAACTCATATCTACAGTCATTGAATAGGGAATTCAGTTAACATGCCCCAGAAGGTAACTTTGCTTTTAATGTCTCATCCACTTGTTTAGAACCATACTAACAAATGAAACGGCATTAGCTGGTACAAAGCCTTTCAGCAGATAGTGTTCGCTGAATAGAAAGCATCCTCAGCCTGACACTCTGAATCAATACAGATTCAGACAACTAAAAAAGTCATTACTGAATACTGAATTTTGGTTTTCTATTTGTACTTGCCTAGAAACATGATAGATACAGCTTCCATCACCAGCATTCCAGAGATTTATGAGAGAACTTTGACTCTAGATTTTGCATGGTTTGAGTTTTTGCTAGCATCTTTTATTGGCACTTACATCACTGTGGCTTTTTCTGTTGCAATTAATTTGCCTTTAAGATTCTGGAGAACTTCAAAATGTAACACAAATGATAAGCTATCCTAAGCGAAAATATTATTTTCACCAAGCAATAGCAAAACATTCAGAGCTAGATAAGAAAATCGAGATACTGCAGTTTACAGGGCCATCTTCTGCTCTCCTGTAATGTGCTGAGCTGACCAGCCAGTGCCTGAGGGAGACAGCCTCCTGGAGCCCCAAGCAGAAAAGAAGGAAAAGAGGGCATAGAAATAGCTTGATAGGTTCATTTCTTGACTTTTATATATAAACCCCATGTTGGCCAGGTTTTCTTCTTAGGGAGGGTAATATTTCACCAGGATCTGTCTTGATGATAACAGTAAAGGTCATACTAGTATTCAACAGAGATAAAGCCATTTTCTTTACCCATTCCACAGTACAGCCAAGAAATAACTAGCTAAGTCCAACCTACCTTCAATGGTCCTTGCATTTCACTGACAGTATATTCAAGCCGCTTCTTTGCCGTCTCCAAGGCTTGGGTCTCTTTCAGCAGACAGTCTAGCTCATAGATGAGCTCAGATCTCCAGAATTCAATATTGGCAATCCTCTCTCTTAGGTTTCTTCTACTGTCTTCTTGCATCTGGTAAGTCAGTTGATCCTTATCTTGTATGAGTCTCATTGAATCAGTGTTCAGTCTACCAGCATGGTACCTAGAGGCTTCAGACTCTTTTAACTGAACCATGTTTTCATGGTGCCAGTCACAAGTGCTGTAGCGGGTATGCAGGCTAGAGCGTAACGCAGGTAGAATAGTGGGCAACTGCCCAGTGGGATTAAATTGCTTGTTAGGGATAGGAGGGACCAAAGCCACTTTGTGAAGCAGCCTGGGCCTCCAGGAGCTGAGGTGGCGGTAGCCTGGTAGGTAGTAGGACTGATAAGCATCCTTGGTGGTGCTGGTGGGAGCTAGGTCTGGGAACAGGCAGCTCTTTTTTGGGCCATAGTAACTGGGTAGCTGCATGCTCCCCTGAAAATCCATCCTGCACCGAGCTCAGGTAGCCTCCCTCCAGCTGTGCATCATCTGCAGCCAGAGCAGCCCCAGGGCCCCTGCTGCCCTTAAGGTTCCGCAGTGCATTATGACAAGCGGAGATGTCACAGAGCTCCAAGGGCTGTTCCATCTTGCCAACTGGTGGAACCCACCTGGATCCCAGCATGCCAAGGGGCCTCCGTCCTCACCTGCTGTCCTAGGGCACGTTGTTTTTCCTACAAAGAAGCAGTGCTTTCCCCGCAGAGCAGCGCTGTGTGTGTTGGGACCCGGAGTCTAAACACGATGTGACCCTGTTTGGTTATAGTGCAGAGGGATTTGCCAAAGGCTCACTCTGGATGGGGTCTGTAGGTTTAGAATCATAGAATCCCAGACTGGTTTCGGTTGGAAAGGACCTTAAAGCTCATCCAGTTCCACCCCCCCTGCCATCAGCAGGGACACCTTCCACTAGACCAGGTTGCTCAAAGCCTCATCTAGCCTGGCCTTGAACACTTCCAGGGAGGAGCAGCCACAGCTTCTCTGGGCAACCTGTTCCAGTGTCTGACCACCCTCACAGTGAAGCATTTCTTCCTAATATCTGATATAAACCCACCCTCTTCCAGTTTAGAGCCATTTCCCCTTGTTCTATCACTGCCTGCCTTTGTAAAAAGTCCCTCCCCAGCTTTCTTGTAGGCAAGTTTATCTTCAGTGAGCTTACCTTGAGCAAAACAGAAGTTTTACTTCAGGAGGGTTCATGTGTATCGGTTAGTGGCTGCAGGGAAATGCAGCAGTGGAGACAAGTCTTCTGAACACAGACTCTGGGTGTCATCTCCTACCATTGTCTAGTGAGCTCTGCAGATGGTTTGGTCCAAAAAAGTATAACTATCTTGGGCCTTGCTTTTCCCCTCAACTGTATTCATCTTCCATAAAAAGTATAAAAGATGGGAGAGACCTTCATCTGATGATAACTTTTCTACAGTTTAAAGTGTTGAGTAACTTCTTGGATAACTTTTTCAATTTTTCCTTTCAGCTTTCTGGCTTGTTTGGCAAAAAAACCTATTTTTGAAATCCAGTACTTTAAATTGCATTGTGACCCCTGTTCTGTGCCAAGAATTTTGAACGTAAATAATTATTTGTAATTAGGCACTGTATTTCTTTATCCTAAGAGTCCTTAAATCAGCACAGTTTTTTCTTAGGTTGAAGTGGAAGACAATTGCAATCATTTTTTCTTCTCCAGATAGATAACTGCAAAACAGCCTGTTAACCTTAATTATCCTGGGGCAATAAAATATATATGTTTATATATATTCATTATATTACAGCATATCTTGTCTCAGAAAGCTAGCATAACATTACACCCCAGCTGAAAAAAGTAGAGGTAATTATAAATAAATAGTCATTGTAAGTTAATCTTCTGATGGTGTTTAAAATGTGTATATAAATGTCAGTGCTAAGTGTAGAGAGGTGAGGTAGGGGCAGGGGAGCCACACACAGTGGACAGGCACCAGACTGGGGTGTATGAACAGGGTAAGACTGATCCTGCAAATGCTCACGCACACAAAGAACTTTACTCTTGCAATAACTGATGGAACCAATTCTTAGCAGCTGCCCAGGAGGGTAAAGTTGTTTCTGAGCATGAGAGATTGCGGGTGTGCTGGCAGAGTTCCCCACCGAGTTCAGCCCGACTCGAACACTGTAAAGCTCTGGGTTTTTCCCACGTACCCCTGCACGAAGAGCATTTGCTGGCTCAGAGGAGGAGGGGGGCTGAAGAAGAGATTTTCTTTTCCTTTTTGGTGCTTTATATGGGGAATGTTCTATATAACCTTGGGAACAGGAAAGGGTCTGTTGCCCCCAAAAGAAAAATATTTAACCACGTTTAAAATGTGGAAAGTCCTGCTGACATCAGTGAATCTGATCCATATGTTTGAAAGGAAATACAGACCTAAAGTGCTGTTCTGAGCTGTGGTCTAAAACAGACACACATTTTTATAGAGAAGGTACAGCATAAATTTCTCAGATAAGTCTTACTGGCCAGTTCCTCCCACCCCAGACATTTGAGTTTGCTTAAACATTTGGATACACTTCCACGTAACGTTTTTTTCATTGGTTTCCCATAGAGGATAATTACAGAGCAGTAATAACAGAAGTTGTGCAAGTACTTGATGAGCATCAAGTGATGAGCATTTACCTGAGATAAATATCCTTGAAATGGAAAATGGGCAAGAGCCTATTTATTAATGACTGAAAATCAGAGGCCAAACACCTCAAATACCTTAAGTAAATGTATTTTAAGATATTTTTTTCCTAGAGTTTTTTTTAGGTGGACAGTTAATCACAAGTTTGTGTGGTTACTTTTTCCCCATGGTGTTCTTTCTAAAAAGCTTGCAGTTGTTGAAGTGGAGAGTGTTTATCAAAAGCTAACTTTGCAGTACTTTTCTCTCAAAAAGATAGATTTAACACTAGGAAGTGCTGGTATCTTTCCAAATATTACCAGATACTCTTTTCTGTATATTGTGTTTCCAAGGTGAGAATGCCTTAAATAGTAACTTAAACAGTTGTATGTTAAAAGAATCAAGTTTTGGGACTAAACAGTTAGAAATGGGAATACTAGAGACTCCTGACTGTGCTCGGATCAGACAAGTACCATTTTTATGACACCCTCAGCCAAAGCAATAGGAGGCTTTGTGAGCAGGAACCATGCTGCTTTCCTCACAGCTCCTCCAGAACCACCACCCTCGAGTGCTCCAGCCTTTCTCTCCAGCTTGAGTTACCCTCTGTGGTTTTTAAACTAGAATTCATGGGCCCTGCCTCTGGAAGAGGTCAGCGGCTCTCACGGGATGTAACCATGACAAGAGGGACTGCTGTATTGAGGCTCATACCTGTTACACGCGTCTGCACGAGAAAAACTAACACTTCATTAAAGGACGTGAATGTATCGTGTGCAGTTTTCTGAAGCAAAGCCGTTTTCAATGCCTTATTCTGAACACCAAAGCTTTACTCATCTAACAGCTGCATCACAGACTCACAGAATGTCAGGGATAGGAAGGGACCTCAAAAGATCATCCAGTCCAACCCCCCTGCCAGGAGCAGGAACCTAAATGAGATCACTGCATCTGCCGTGGTTGGGACTCTGTGCTGTTTTAGTCACAACAGTATGGTCAGAACTTTGTAACAGGTAATGAAGCAGTGAAGGGAAGGTGAAAAGATTGTCAAAGATCTTGGAAAAACACTTTCCTCCTCCTAAGTCTAAATATGGTTCTGTGATTTAGTGCTCATTTCTGTGTGGATTGGGAAGCATTTTGAGGCAGGAATCATCTTTTGCCGAATCTTGGCAAGATATTCCCTGTTGGGGATTCTCGGGTGATGATTCAGTTTGACAATTGCAGTTTACACCCTCAGCTGTCAGTCTGCGCTGGGGTGACGAGCAGTACAAGGAACCATCTCCCACGTTTGCCATCTCTGACTCAGTTTTTAGGCTCTGATGTGACGAATGAAGAGAGGATGAGGTCATGCACTCTGATGTGACGAATGGAAGAGAGGATGAGGTCATGCTCAGGCAGCCATGGGAGAGACAGAGGGAGCAGTGGTTGGGGTGAGGTGTCTGACAGTAAGGTCCACATTACATCACAAGTTGGTGCACACTTCCTTGGTTCGGAAAATTAATTTATTATTAATTTATTTCATCAATTTTTAAATACCAGAAGCAAGTTAAGGTAGAATAATCTTCCCAGTGACTGTTCCCATTAAATTAGTAGCAGTTTTTTACCAGCAAGGTGCAGAAATTGATATAATCGAAGCTGCAGTGCACTGCAGCAGTGGCACGGTGTTACCGCACCGGCACCTAATGGCTCAGCTACAGCCCCCCTGGGGGACAGAGGGAGGTGCACGCTCG